TATATTAGTTAATTCAGATATACTGTGTTCCATGGACCATTTCTGTCTACCGATCCTTAAGTGTTAGTTGTGTTCAATGAATACAATATGTAAAAAAAAAATATCCAAATAGGATTTGGTTATAATTTAATTTAACTAGTATACTATTTAATGATATAAACAGAACATACTATTCATGTTTTCACATCGAAATAACTTGGGCCCTGCTTGCTACATTGTAATAGTAAAAACATCATTATGAGCCATGATTATTGGGAATTTATGAAGATGTTGGCATGAAACCAAAAGATCTGGGTTCAAAGTCTTTCTAGTTCTGCCCCTTTCTAGCCTTGTGACTCTGACAAAATCACGTGTGCCTCCCAGTGCAGTGTTTAGAACACATGGTAGACCATACTGCACCAATTAATTACCAGTTTTTAATTGCTCAGTTTCTCCACCTGAGAGTGAGACATTGTGAGTTACTGGCTAGCTTTCCATTAACGCCTTTTGGTGTCCTTGCTGTGAGTAACACAGTAAATCAGACACTGTCATTCCCCTGCTTAAGACTCTCTATAACTGCTCTGCTCAATATGGTAGCCACCATCCAGATGTGGTTGATGGTAGCTAGATGGAAGCCACCAGCCAGATGTGGTTATTGAGTTATTTGTGACGTGGCTAAACTGAAGACAGATATGCTGTAAGGGTAAAACACACACCAGATTTCAAAGACAAAGCACAAAAAAAAGTGTAAACCATCTCAATAATTTTTATATTAATCACAGGTGGGAATGACAACATTTTAGTTAAATTGAGTTCAATAAAATATATGATAACTATTTCACCTGTTTCTGATTTTTTTAATATGACTATTAGAAATTGTCAAATTACACACATGGCTTGCATTGTGTTCCAGTGGGAAAGCACTGATGTCTAACCTCCCACCACTTTCAGAAGAGAATGTAAACTCCTTAGCATGGTTTATAGGGCCTACATGAGCCAGCTCCTGCATGCCTCACCTGAGGCTCCTCATACCATTCTCCCTGTCCCACCACACTGACCTCATGATCCCTCAGACACACCACACTTGCACTCACCTCAGGGTCTCTCCACTCATGACCCCATCCTCCTGGAATGTTCTCTCTATGGGGACTCTACTCACAGCTGACTCATTCTCCTTCATCAGGGCTTAGTTCACACACCACCTGTTCAGCCAGGCCATCCTGGATCCCCTGATCTAAAACGACTGCATCCAATGAATTTCTCCATTTATTTCCTCCTAGGCACTCACTTCCATCCTTAATTACCTTATCTAAATATCTGTCCACTTGTTTAATGCCTGTTCCCCGCTACACACATTAGAATAGAAGCTATATGAGGGGAGGGGCATTTCCTGTCTTATTCACTGTTGCATCCTCAGCTCATGGCCTAACCCACAGTATTTCCCAATTCAATCTTTGTTTGTTTGTTTAATTAATTCATTCATGAATGGTTAAAAGAATACAAAACTCAGAGTCAAAAATCCCAGTTAGGACAAGACCAGTGAAAATGAGGACAACAACAGCAGCATCTTAATCCAAGTGCTTCCTGTTTTGCTTATAATTGACCATCTGCAATCATTATGGAAGCAGTGCAGTATAGGTGAAAGGGTGCAATCTGAAGTTAAAAACTCTGAATTTAAATTTCAGCTCTGCCACTTGCCAGCTGTATGACCTTTGATACAGCCCTGGGACTGTTTGGGATTTCTGTTTTCTCTGAGACTGGTTGTCTTGGAGTTCAAGTAAGATTAGGGCTTTGTCAACCAGAGAGCCCCAGAAACAGTTATTAGACCAAGATGTTCTCCAAGGAGAAGGATTCTTTTATTTACCTTGATATCTCTAGCGCCTATCAGAGGGCTTGGCTTATGGCACATACCCCAAAACTCCTTGATAGATGAATGAATGCTTCTAATAAGCCCCAGTGTCAAAAAGCAATGACCCTTGGAGAAATCAGATCTCTACTCTTTCAACTTGGAAAAGATATCCAATTTTCTTCCAAAGAGAGGTGAAGAGGACCTCAGAGCTAGAGTGAGGCTCAGGTGAAATAACTATATTTCCCTCATTCTCCTAAAAAGTCCCAAGTTGTAATAGTGTGTCCAGGTGTCCGGCTAAGTCTCTGAATACAGGTCCCCTGGAACAAGTGGGTCAAGTGTAAGGTTTAAAGTGTCAAAGTCAGAATCCTCAACTGAGGAGACAGCAACTTCTAGCAGAGAGCAGGGATCCCCTCTCTGCCTACAGCAGGTCTTTTTCCAGAAAGGAGGGAATGAGCCACCCCGAGCAGCAGCTCCTGACACTCGCATTCTGAGAAATTCTGAGAAACAGCTGCAATATCTGCCTCCTTAATTGTACCTGGAGCCAAGGGTAAAAATAAGGAAGGGGAGAGACTCTTGTGGTTGGAGCTATTAATAAATAGTGTTAAAGTTAATAAATTAGTATTATTTCATGGAACAATATTTTTTCAAGATGAGGCAAGGAGGGTGGCTGGGAAGGGAGTGGGAAATGACTTCACTGGGCAGGCTTTTGCCTGGTTTGAAAGGGATAAAGCTTGCCTTTGTTATATTCCTGGCTTCTGTTCCCACAGCTCTAAAATATAAAAGCTTCTGACATGACATCCTGATTTAGCACTATTGTTCCTAGGATTTGCTACTGAAAGGACTATTCATGTGGAAACCTCCTCTCCCAAGCCAGGCTTCTGTTGACCACTGTTTATTTACATACTGGTTTAACATGCAGCCCACCTTGGAAGTTTGGACAAACCAGGCCAGGTGTGCCATTGCGCCATCTCTCCCTATTCTTACCTTGCCTGCTTACTGCATGGAGGTAGAGAGTAGAAGGTTACCAGAGGTTGGGAAGTGGTGGGCTGGGGTGTCAGGGAATTAAGAGAGGTTGGTTAATGGGAACAAACACAGTTTGATAATAAGAAAAAGTCTAGTATTCAATAGCACAGTAGGGTGACTAGAGTTAACAACAATGAATTGTATACTTCAAAATAGCTAAAAGAGGCTGGGTGTGGTGGCTCACTCCTGTAATTCCAGCACTCTGGGATGTTGAGATAGGAGGATCACTTGAGGTCAGGAGTTCAAGACCAGCCTGGCCAACATGGTGAAACTCTGTCTCTACTAAAAATACAAAAATGAGCCAGGTATGGTGGCTCATGCCTGTAGTCCCAGCTTCTTGGGAAGCCAAGGTGGGAGAATCCCTTGAACCTGGGAGGCGGAGGTTACAGTGAGCCAAGATCGTGCTGCTGCACTCCAGCCTGGGCAACAGCGCAAGACTCTGTCTCAAAAAAAAAAAAAAAAAAAAAAAAAAAAAAAAGCTAAAAGTGATTCGACATGTCCCTAATACGAGGAAATAATAAATGTTCAAGGTGATGGAAATCCTAAACACCCTGACTTGATCATTACACATTGTAAGCATGTATCAAAATATCACATGTACGATCATTACATATCAATTAAAAAATATATAAAAGCCAGAACCCAACCTCTATTCATTTGCCAAATGTGTACTGAGCCTATATCACATGCTAGGTACTTGAGGATACAGCTGGGAGCAAACAAGGCAAAAATCAATTATAGCAGAAATCTGTGAAAGAAGAAATAGGTCAACCCTCATCTTGGAAAAGAAAAGCCACAAATAGAAAGCCCTTTCCAGGAATGTGTAATGAAAAGTCACAATTCAGGATCCCTGGCCGAGATTTGGGATGACTGGAGACAATGATAAGAACTAAATTGGAGGAGGCTTTCAAAAGGAAAAAGCCTCCAGCAAGAGACAGCCCCCAGAATGGGAACTGCAGCCTCCCCCTCTCAGCAAATCCCTCCCGAACGGTGTACTTCGGAACCACTGTTCAGTCTCTGTGCAACCGAGTTTTATTTTAGCCCACAGGAGCCCTGGTTTCTAGCAGGGGGCACTGCAAAAAGGCGTTACAGGCCGAACCCCTCACAACAGAGACGGCAGTATTCTCTCTAGGATAAAAAGGGCTTGTGTTTAATCCTCTGTCAGGGCAGGGGGAAATGCCTCTGGGAATCCAAGTTTGTGGAACCGGCTCAGCAAAGAGATGTGGCTTTATGGGCAAACAACATGACATAGAGAGAGGAACCTGGCCAATTCTGTCTTATAAGAGTAGTTACGTTATGTGTTGCAAGGACTCCACATTCCATGGATTTGTGAACTCAGATGGAATCTTGTTTGTCCAGGCCTGCATGGCCCCATTTATCTAAAAATTACTAATTTACCAGTTTATAGTTTACAATCCTGTGCCCCCCCCCCAAGCCCCACCCCCATGAGCTCTCTCTGTCTCTTACTCTCAGTCTCTCAGGTTAAAGCCTTGCTCAAGAGTTCAGCTGTGGACCAGTAATTCTCTCTGATTATTTCCTCATCTATCGTCTTAGAGTCATAATAATAATCATACCTGAGATAATATAAGCATACAACAAGACAATATGTCCTTAGGAGCATCTCTAAGATCAGGACAGTGATTTCTTGCTCATGGAATAGAGAGGATTTATGTTAAAGCAAGTTATGAGAAAGCAGTTTAATACTTTACAAATGTTAAGTTAAAAAAATTCATAACTCGCTGAATCTTTTCTCCTCTCTGGGTACTGGAGAACTCGCCCAGGTTTGGGAAAAGTTAGCCAGCTCCTGCAAAACACCTCCTCCCTCGGCCCTCCCCGCGCCCCCTACGACCAGGCAGAAAGGGTGGGAAGGGGAGCACAGCTCAACATTTATTTCTGGATCCAGCTCACTAAAAATACCTCGGCCCTCCTGTTTGATCACTCTCCCTTTTGACCTGAATGGATCGCGGGAGCCGCGCCGTCCGCCCCACCCTCGGCCCGTTGCCCTTTAAAGGAAAAGGGCGTGGGGACGGATTCCTGCCGCTCGAGGGATAGAAGCGAACCGGGCACTCAGGGGCCGCGGCCATGCTGACGTCAGGGCAGCCAGCGCTCCGCTACGCTAGCGGCCACAGTGCAGAAACCTTCCGTCAGGGACAGCCTCGCGCTGCGACTGGCTGGCCTCGCGCGAGCGCCTGCGCGGAGTGGCTGGCGAGGTTTTAGAGGGAGTCCCGCTCTCCAATTAAAGCGGCCCAGCTGCGCCTGGCTGCGCATAGAGCTCCCTCCCAGGCCCGCGAACTTGGCCATTCAGCCGCCGCTGTCCCCGCTGCGCGCCCTCGCGCCTCTGCCTGAGAAGCCAGGCGCTGTTCCTCCACCCCAGAAGAGGATGGCAAAGGTGGCTAAGGACCTCAACCCAGGAGTTAAAAAGGTGAGCGGAAAGCTGTCTGTATTTACCCAGACTCATTCTTTTTCTTGTTTCCCCTTCCCATCTGTTCTCGGAAACTTCCCAAAAGGTAATGAGAAGGAAACTCTTTAAATTCCAAAACTGCATGGAAAACAAATAGTTGGGGATACATGTTTGAGCTAACAGGCACACACATCCCAAACCCATTGTTGTGTAAAATATTTGCAAAGGGTCTTATGTCTTTGGTGATGCTAGTTAAAATTTAATATTTAATTAAGATGAAACATATATATATAAAATCTTATGGTCTGTAAAGGAAAAACCCCTAGCTTCCTCACTCCCTGTCCTCAGGTGGCTGAAGTAAGGGTTGAGGGCATGTAATATTTACTCATAGTCTCCCTTTTGCTATTATCCCAGTGTTTTGTGTGTTTTCCCCAGTACACACACACACACACACACACACGCACAGTTTCTTTAGTTGGTGATGTTGGCAGTGGCAGCAGTTCCAGCATAAGGGAACTGATTTCTGTCCCCAGGGTCTGCACGTTTCCCTTTCAAGAAGGGCTGGCCCGGAGCCCAGAAGGTCATGGGTAAACTCCTTCACAGGAGCCTGCGGCTGTGCCTATAGCTCCAATATCATTTGTTGCTTACCTGAATGCAGCTGGGAGAGGGCACAGGCTGGAGACTTAGAGAACATGTGAATGGGAAGGGAACAGAGAGACAACCTAGGCTTTACAGATGGGGAAACTGAGGCCTGGAGTCACAGAGAGTTGGTTCTAGCAGGCAGCTGACTGTAAGGAAAGCCCTAGGTATCCAGGCTCAGTTCCTGCCACTTTTTAACTGCACAGTATTCACCAAGTCACTTTTCTGAGCCTCAGTTTCCTTGTCTCTGATGTGGGGATGACAGACCTAACCTCCGTCAGGGCAGTGGTAGCAGGGATATTGACACTGTGAGTTAATTTCCCAAAGCAGTAGTTGTTAAACTCTGATTTCACAGGATTTAGTCTTGCAGGGCAAAGTCTTCCTTAAACATCTGCCATTAACCTGCAGGATAGAATGAGAGGGGGAAGAAAAAAGACTGTGAGAATCAAACTAAAGACACAAACAGCCACTTAGAGGCACAGCATTCACCATCTAATTTATAGCTGTGATCTTTTATAGACAATTTGCCCAGACCCTATCACAGAGTCCAGTGGATCCTTCTAAATGGGTATACCAAGTCACATTGAATCTGGGCATTTCTCTGGAATGTATCATGCCTCATTGCATTTGCCAAGCTATTTGCAGAATCAAGTCATTTCCCTTTCTACAGAAATTACCATAATACTTTAGACTCTTAGAAGATACCTATTAATCTCTACCTAGTAGTGAGTTATGCATGCAATGCTCTTATTTCTCTATACATTTTTCTGGACTCCTTGAGGACGAACCTGTCTTGTTCATCCCTGTTCGAACATAGCACACCATGCCACACGGCAGGACTCAAAAACGTATGAGTGAGCCACGAGAATGTCTGTCCAGCTAAGACCACACTGTTTGCATAGGCTTCATTTTATGCATTATTTTTTAACTTGTACCATTGATATTTGTGTGTCTGAACTGCCTCCCCAAGTTCAGACACAGAATAGTTCCAGGCTAACGGTGGCAGAGTTCCATTGTCCTCTGGAAAGTGAAATGATTCTGAGTATTTTTAACATAAGCTGGTTTATGGTTACTGTATGAGGTGAGATGAGGTATATGGAGACTCCCCCTCCTCACTGCAGTCCTGGGTTGCCACTTGGAGGAAGCCTTGTTTTTATTTTCCTTTGCATAGGGGAGTGTGATTATCCTGATTAGAGGTGGAACATGTTCTCCTTCTTGTCACCCCCTAGTGCCAACTTCCTTGGCCTGCAAAGGGTTTGTTTTCCATTTAGATCCAATTACAGGCTTAGAGAAAGAATGTGGTGGGTAGAGATGAAAGGGCAGATATTTTTTTACCTCTTGGGACTGCGACAATCAGGAGGAAGATCACCATTTTGTAGGTTAACCAATGCCTTCAACTCAAAATGTGGAGGGGAGGGAAGAGAACCGACAAGCTCCTCTTGCTGAACTGAATGTCACAGAAGTGATTAAGTACTACGTGATATCAGCAACATGCTGAAAAGTTTTTACTGCATATTTATTTTTTAAATCTGTAACAGTGGGGGGGAGGTTTATAACATTTGGCTTCAGGATGCATAATCACACTTAGACATTTTGAAACAATTTCATAGACTCTTAGAGCTACAAGGGGCCTATTTACAAAATGAGAAATGGCATACAGGCTCTTTCCATTGCCCTACCCCCATGGGGGTTGGGGCAGGAATCCCCACCAACTGGATAGTCATAAAAAGATCTTCAGCAGAGAGCACAAAATCTAAAAACTGGAGTAGACTTAAAGATCATCTCACCAACCCCAGGCAGGCTAGGGAAAGAGACTCACTAGGGGCCACATACATACATCATGGCAGACCTTACAAGTTCCCCAACTTCTCTCTTTCTTTCTAAGTAAAATGCTACCACTGGCTGCTCTTGAACCATCTTTTATTTTTCTGTTAGGATAGAGAAGGTTTCCTAGCCCAGACAGTTCCCTGAAAATGGTGAAATCGCCAACATGTCTTAATAACAAAGGGCCTTGAAGGCCAAATGCCATTTTTCTGGGTGAAATCAATCTCAACTATGGATTTGTTCTTGTTGATTAAGGATGCAAATTATTAGTGTAGGCTTTGGCTTCAGATCTGGGTTAAGTCCCAGCTCCACCACTTACTAGCTGTGTGCTCTTGGGCAAGCTAATTAACTCTGAGTCTGTATCCTCACCTCATTTGAAAGTTGAAGAAACAGTAACAACATCTACCTGCCAAGGTGGCTGTGATAATTAAGTGAGATGATGTACATAAAAGGCTCAGCATATGAGCACTCAAAGTTAGCCATGGCTGTCCTTGGTGGTGGCAGTACATTTCAGTGGGTGCATGGATGCTGAAAGGAGTCTTTTGGCAAATGAAGGACACTTTTATTTATAACTGTCCCCATCTGAAGAGCACCCAGCTTGCACTCAGCTGAACCTAAGCCATTGCTCAGCTTTGACAAGCTAAGACAATGACCAAATGCTGTTGCCTTCATTCTCACCCAATGGATGCAAAATCTGCTTACGTGGAATAGTCTTCCCTTCCGAATGTGGATTGCCAGTTATTGAGCATTTCACTTTGGAGTTATATAATGTTGGGCCTGGAAGGGGAATTGGAGCTCCTTACTTTTTAGATAAGGAAACTGAGGCCCAGAGGGATCAAGCTCCTTGTCAGAAGTTGCAAAGAAAATGTACTGAAGCCTATTAGGTTCTGCAAGAATACAGACCCCTTGACTCTCAAGGAGCCATCTGTAGGAATTTAGAAGGGATTAGAAGAAAGAGAGCTAGGAGCCTGTTCATAGTTGACTGTGCAGTCACCAGTGGGCTGGCTCCACAGGGAGCCAATTAGAAATTCTCACCCCTCAACAAAATGCCCACGGGGCGTTAAATGATGGTAATTCTAAGTGCATTGCCAGGTCCACCTGGATGTCTCTCTCCATGCTTCTCTACGTCACATCCCTCTTGGCTTTCCTGTCCTTCAGGCTAGGCCTTCCCTCTGTACTCAGCCCTTCCTGCTTTCACCTCCACTTCCTGCAGTGTGCAAAACTACTGGCACATCACCCGGGTGAGCTGATCCAATGTAAACACGGCTCCTCGAGAATTGTCGTTGGCTCCCTCAATCTTAAAAACATATTAAACTGTCACTTAAAGACCTTAATAGCCAAGACATTGGAGACATGCCCATAGGTGTATAAGCAACTTGGCCCAAAACAGAGCCTTATTTTTTAAAAACAGAAATAAATTATCCAAGTCCCTTTTAAAGGCTCTCTAAAAACAGATGCTGAAACCATTACTTTGTAAATTGAAGATTTTTGTCCTAACCTGCAGGTGTGTCTGACTATGTGGAGTTGGGGGCTGACAGTTGACTTTCACCAATGTATCTGCCACTGTGGTAGTGGGAGGCAGGGAGGAGCTTCATCAGATTATCTTCAGGCTTTAATCTAAGCCATCTCAGCTCCAAGGCTAGGAATTTGCTCAGAGCTTACCAACACTCCTACGAGTTGGAAAGTGGAAAAATGACTTTGGCATTCCCCTCTGAGGATGCTTGGTTTGATCCTTTCTTCATGCAACTGACCAAAGGTGACAAGGATGAAAAAAGAATAGGCTGAAATCAGCAAAGGCTGGGGACCAGGAAGGAGGGGCTGCGCACAGGCTTTTGTGTGTGTCTTTCCTTCTGCCCTTACGCAGGCCACTTCCCAAGAGGAAAAGGTAAAGAGTAGAGAAGTAAGGGAATAGTTCCTCTCACAATCCTCTAGAGCCGAGAGGGCTCCAGGAGAAGTATTCGATTTGACTTTAGGAAGGCAAATCGTCCTTTCTTTTCAACTTCGCATTCAAAATAGCTTGTGTGTCTCATAAAGTGGAGATTTGCCATGATAAGTAACAGACCTTGAGAGCTCTTATCTCCCGACCATTCATCCAACACCATTTAAATCTTTATTTTAAGAACAGATTTCTGGCAGGGGCGTGAGTCATTATAATAACTGCAGGCATTTACTCACTGGGTGACTTTGGACAGGTCACCTTTCCTAGGAAGTGGCAGAATTTGGGTAACAACCAGGGTTCTTTCTGCCTCCAGCCCACTGACCTTTCCTTTACACCAGACCATCTCCCAAATAACAAATGATTATGAAAAAATAGGCTTAAAACTTCGTTCCACTGAAAGCGGAATTGTGAAGCAGCTTTTCAGGACATCCAAAATGAAGAGCCAGCTGTTGCTCTTGAAGAACCTTCGTTTAGAAATATCCTCACATCCCCTACCATTTGATAAGAGGAAGAGTATTTGCCCAGCTGCTACTATCTCACAAGGTGCAGGGCCACCAGCTACTTTTGCAGGACTCCTTCAAGATCACAACATTTCCTTAACTCCACATGGAACAATTGG